TATATATATATATATAATCAGCAACAGTGTTATCTTTTCTCAGACTTACAGCTTATTAATATTTTAACTGTTTTCAATACATAGCTAAATGTGTTTTTATTAATATAAGGAAGTTAAATTAACTATTGACCAAAAGAAGCTTCGCAAATAGGTATTACGTAAGATTTCGTTTTCTTTTGGAGAAGACGAAATGGAAGTTATTATTTTACAGAATACTCACAATTTTAAAAGAATTAGGATTTTTTTTAAAAAATCTGTCCCTCTGGAAAAAGAATAAGAAAAACTAGGTTCTATCAAAGTCAAAACCAGTATTCTTTTATTTAAGTGTAATCCAAAAAGTATCACAGAAAAAGTAAGCAGAACCCCTTTTTTACTATCCCCTTTTTCTCTAAAAATGAATTACATGTCGAATCAGTTATTTGAACATAAATTGTATTCTTTAACCCCTCCTTTTCTACTGAATCCCTTTCTATTTTTGTCATTTTATACCATTTACCTCTTTTCATCAGCAGTCAGTCAGGCACACTTGACCCTGAGGTCATGTACAGCAGGTGACTTACACATGTAAGTTTCTGAAGATGAGCAATTTTTTTCTCTGAGTGGAGTTTTATCTTTAATGAATTTAACGTTATGATTTTGATAAAAAAAATTAAACAAGTTAAGTGATGTCTTTAAAACAGTGTTATTAATTAAAGCAATCAATTGTTATATCAAAGAATAAAAGTTGACTAAAAAAGGTAGAAAAAAAATCTTTTTTTTTTCAAAACAAAAATTGTTTAAGAAACATGCAGACAATTTTTAATTAATTAAATCTTTTTTCCACATTACAAGTTCAAATAAAATAATCTAAACCATGCACTTGCTTGTGCCGATTGGACTGTATAGGGGTTAGGGAACGGTCCTTGCATCGTAAAGATTCTAGGTTCGAATTTTGAGCAAAGCATGGATGTTCTTTCATTTTCTGTGCCATTTGTCCAAAAAAAAAACTATGCACTTGTTAATCTCCAAAATGTGCAATAGTATAATTTATTTGAAACTGGGAAGAGCATCAAAGGGTACAGGGGAAAACTATACTGTGGCATTTGAGCACTAACGCAAATAAAAAAGAGAATTATTTTCTTCAATGCCTCATTTCTCTTTATTTATTTAGAGTTGAAAAAATGCTAGTTGACAAACTTTTATTTTTGACTGGCTTTTAAACCTAACCAGTCATGTTTCCAATTACATAAAATAAAAATTTAAAATTTGATTTGACTTGATTGATGCACTTGCCCAAGCAAGTGCATAGTTTAGATTATTTTATTTGAACTTGTAATATGGAAGAAAGATTTAATTAATTAAAAATTTGATTTTTTCATAGGTATATGAAATGGCTATTTTGTGACATATATTACAGTGGAAGTTTAAGTTTACTTGCCAAAAAGTGCCCTTTTGTTTCTGAAAAAGAGTCCTTTTTCAATGAATGCACTCTGCCTTTTTTTGAAAAAAATTTGAACACTGTGTGTGTGATATCCAAATTTAGAATTGTGAATCTAAATAATCAGTTTTTGATTTTTTTATAAATCCAACTTATTTTTCTTCAGTTATTGCTGTGCATTTTGACATAGTTTTAAAAATCCTGATACTTTTAATATGATATTATTATGATACTCGACTGGCATTTAAATGTATGCTTTATTTGTACCAATTTTATCATAAAATTAAAGTATCTATTTTTATCATTTTTGTTTTAGTATTTCTACCCTTTTCCTTGTGGTTTTGAAATCCACATATTATTAATATATGTATTTAATAATTATTGTGAATTTCAAATCTTGCATTTTAATGTTCTTTCTTCGATGATGTTATTTATTTCACCAGATTTCATAGTAAATCGAAGCTATTTTTCAATAGTTTTTTTTTTGGTAGTTATTACTCGTAATTTCAGGGATGGAAGACTTCTGCAAAAAAGTGGAAATCCGTTTTTTTCTCCCAAGTTTTAAAATTTCCGACAATGTTCCAAAATGTAATAACTACGGAAACCCAGCTGCCCGAATGATAGTCGTGCCTGTAAAAAACTTTTTTTCCCTGGACTAGCCTCCTAAGAAAGAATGATCTTCTGGAGAAAGTAGGTGGAACTTCCGTACGTGCACCGTTGCCTTGACAACCATGACTTCCGCTGTAAAACAGAAAGGATGAGATTCTTGGTTGTTGAGTTCTGAGCAGTTTCATTTCAGCCGCTGATATCGTATTGAATTTGGACATCTGTACATTATAGTTCTCATGACTCCGGTGGTTCTTATTTTTCCTCCTGTGTTTGTCTGTGCACATATTTGTTTCGTGTTTTCTTTTGTTCTTTTTTTGTGGTGCATCTTAAGATGAATGTATTTTAACGATGACAGTCAATTTGATAGGTGAACACAAAATGCGTGCGATCGATGCTGTCATCATTGTAAATCATCATTGGTTAAATAAAACAGTCAAAGTGACTAAAAATGTGGAGCTATAGTAGTGGTGAAATGCGTTTAAAATTATATTTAAGAAAAAGGTAAATTTCACTGTCTAAATGCTTCTGCCATTTTTAATATAAAATAAAAATCACTCAACAGAATTAGTAGAAGTTATGTTTTTATATATCTTATTGATATCCCTGTATTACATGGAACACTCCCTCTCCCCACCTTCCAGTGTCTGTGTTGTAAAAGTTCAGCTTTTTTTACTTTTGTCCAGTTTCATGCCTGAAATTTCTATGTGGTACTTAACCAATATTTTAATACAATGGTATTTACAACACATCAAATTAAAAAAAGAAAAAGAAAAAAAGCTGTGGAGAAATACTTGGGTTTTTAGCTGTCTATAGTTTATAACTTTGTTTCTAATATTTAATGTTTTGAGAAGTACTTATAAAACAGTGTAAGATTTGACAATCATAAAACCTCTTATAATTCACTTATTATAAATGAAAAGTTGAAAATATATCCTAAACTAAATATTGAATCACATTTTGAGCTCATATTGAATCCCATTTTGAGCATGTGTTTTAGTTTAAATCATTTTAAACCTCATAAATCTTTTTTAATTAAAATATTTAGTTTTCTTTTGTATTGCAAAATAAAATATTTATTTGTATTTACTTATATTCCATGAAATAAAAGCTAATTTATTTTGAAATAAACTTTTATATTTGATGTTAAAAAAATGTTATTTATTTTGATAAATCTATTTTATGACAAGAAGGAATTTTTTTAAAAAAATGTATCAATTTGACAGTCTTTAGTTTAAATTTATTTTAACTTTATGCAAATATATTACTAAGTTGACTGATAAAAAGGATTAAATTACCATAATTGTCATCAACTGGGTGTAAATGCAGGTACAATAAAGCTAGGTGTGTATAATTTGGTAGAAATGTAAGTATTAATATAATACTTAATTAAAGGAACAATTCATAACAAATGAATAAATAATACTTAATTGAATATATATATTTTAGACTGATTAAAATAGAAATGAATAAATTGTTTAGTTCATTACATTTTTTGCTTGCTGCATTGATGACGATGTCATGTAAGACTTTATTGGTTAACTTGTTCTTCAAGCAAGTAGTTCTTTATTCAAAATAGTTGTGCACAGTTAAATTAAGAATTTTAAAAAAGTGTATTTGTTGTTTCTGTAATTACTGTTACAATCAAAATATAATGACTAAAAATATAGTTTTTATATATTTTTGTTATTAAAAGGTGGATTCAAAGTAGTGAAGAAATTGAGAAAGATCTTGCTTCATCAGATGGAAAGTCAAATCTTGATCTTGGGTTTAAAGAAGGACAGACAATTACTATCAACATGAATATAGGTGTAAGTAAATGCTCAATCTTAATAAATTTGATGCTTTGAACAAAATTTATCAGCGATATATGATAAATTGCTAGTACTTTTACTATCTGATAAACGTTATGGAAACATGGGAGGTTATCTTTTTCATATTCAACTACTTATTTGACTGATAAAAACTTAAAGCGAATCACGTGTTTCTGTCTAACAGCCACTTGCTAGTAAAATGGAAGATAAAATTTCTTGTCATATCATTTACCTGGAGAAAAATTATTTTTTGTGTTTTAAGTATTTCTTACCTTTGCAACCTATCACCAACCAACATATGAGCCCACCCACCTCAATTCAAGCAACTACTGCCAAAAAGTGACTATCTCTGAATTTTTAATTTTTTTTTGTGGAAAAATTAGGGTAGCTATTACTAGAAGTATTCCAAATGAATAATCGCAAAAACTTTTTTTTAGTGAAGCATCAATTTAAACTTTAATTAAAATCTCATTTGCTTAAAAAACCCGAAAACAAAAATATGCATTTTTAATTGTTCAAGAAAAAAAAAGAAGACATACTAGGATAAATATTCTTTTATCTGGATATGAAAAATAATTTGTATCTAAAAAAGATCTTTTAAATACTTTTAAGGCAAACTTTTATTGTTTATTTATTTTAAACAGGAGTTTTATGTAGGCATGAGTGTTTTAAGTTTATACCTCTCAAAAAATTTTCTGGGTTTTGAAGGTGTTTGTTTTACTAAGGATTCACTGTATTATTCTTTAATAAATTTTTATGCCACATTTTATCCACCCAATAAAAAATATAAATTGTGTATTTTTTATTGTAGAAAAAGTCTGGCAGTTCTAAACCTCGTCCAAAGACTAACTCATCAGGTGGTTTGCCTGGACTATTGCCTCCACCACCAGGGGGAATTAAAATCCCACCTCCATCCATAAACAAAGGCATGAACTCTCAACCTGTCAACCAAGGTAGTGCAGAAACTTCTTCTAATCCTGTGGTAAAGGATGATCTGCTATTAGATCTGGGATCATTAAATTTAGGGTCATCAGTCTCTCAAGAAAACAATTCTGCTCCTAAAAATTCTTCTGGAACAGAGTTGTGGGGAGATTTTGCAACAGCTACTGGGTAAGAACTTATATATTTTGAATATTGTTATGCATCAAAAGTTAAAATATTTATAAAATTTGTCATTCATTTAAAAAAGAAAATTTGGTAATTTGTGAGTAAAAATTTACTATTAAAAGTTCTTCAGTTTATTTTATAAATTATAACTAATTTGCAATTTAATAATAAGGTACGTAAAAATACAATTCGTTTTAAAAATATTTTTTTGTAAATACCTTTAGCATAGTATTTAAGAATTTTCTTCAGTGTTCTTACCTAACAGCATTTGTTTGAGAAAATAAGTATTGTGTTTGAAATTTTGAATTTTTTTTTTTAATTTGTAATATATTACACAATAATCTATAGTTTAGCTATGCTATTTTAAATATTTTTGTGTAATTATTAAATAAAGCTCTAATAAACTCCTTAATGGGAAAATTTGAAGGAATTTACAATTGATTGAATTTCTTAAAAAATTCATTAAATATATTTTTCTTCCCAAATTTTATTTATCCATTTTCAGTAATTAAAATTGGTTTATTAAATAACTTGGTAATATTTTTGTTATTTGAACTACATTGCAATTATGAAATGTTTAATTTTAATACTTAATATCTTTTAATTGAAAAGAGTTTCTTCCACTAGGGTTTGAGGAAATTTATTTCTTCCTGGATGGTTTTTTTTCTAAATTTTTTTGTTCATCTGTAAAAAAAAATTCCCAATCCTGGTTGTAAATAATTTTAAAACCATAGCCAAGGTTATTTTTGGGTGGGGGGGGACATGTGAAAGAAACATAATGCATTTTTAGGAGCAAAATCTAGATTTTACACCTATTATAAAATACTTCCTCTTTGAAAAGTCAATTAAAAATTATCATTTTGAAAATTTAAACATAAGTAACAAAAAGGTTATATTTATTAATACTCTGAATAATTTATTAATACTCTGAATAATAACTGTTAAGCACTAAGCAATATGAATTCACAAAACTGGCATATTTTATGCAGAATCATCTAATAGTTTTTAACCATGTTTTAATTCGACATGTTTTAAACTGACACAAAAAAGTAGGAAACAGCAACAACAAAAAAAGAAGAAAAACTATGAATGACATGTATATAGTAAATTTTATTTAAGAATAAATCAAAATATAATTTAAAAAGTCCAGTTTAACCAGAACTCAAAATCATTGGTTTTTGGTGAAAAAATCAATGTTGTTAAACTTTGTTTTGACTGGCTCATTTTAAATTAATTCTCTGATAAGATAAAAATAAAACAGCCAAATATGAATCTTAAATACTAATGATAATATACAAGTTAGTAAAACTCAAGGAAGAAAAAATCAAGATTATTTCCTCATAAATCTTTTGGAATCTAATAAATTTTTAAAACCTGTACTTAATCCTGTAAGCTATCTTTGAAACTTTTAAAAAATAATATTAATAATAATAATAATTACATTTTTACCTTTTTAGTATTTCTTATGATCTATCATTAAATAAATGTATAATAAATATATTATAATTATATTAATAAAGTAGAATAAATTATAGGTTTTTAAAAAAGCGAATTTCTGAAATTTTAAGTGAAAAACTTCATTGTGCAATTTTCGTGTTTGGAAGAGATTCTGTGTTTCTATTTAAGTTTAATTGATATTTTAGATACTTTGTAGACATCTGTCTAACTAGCGCAAAAACAATCAACAATACCACATGGATTTATAATGAAATTGTGCAAGTTAAAGGACTCAAATGTTTTATTTGAAATTTGTGTGAAGTAATATTGTATTAAAAATAAAGAGATTTTACAAATCCTTTCGAAATCTATATCAATAGCTGATGAAAAGTGATGCTCAAAATAGACTTAGGATGGAATTTCCAAAACTTTAGAAATATCAATAGTTATCCCAAATCAGACTTTCTTTCTTAAATTTCTTGATGTAAACACAAAGGTTTGAGGTTATGACATTTTTAGAGAAAAAGCATACCGTATTAGCTATGAACTATAGCCCCATGGCAAAATCGCAGCTACATGGGACATTGTCGCAGAACGTTTCAGAGTTCTTGCAGAAAGATTTTTCGTTTGAAAAGTTTAAAAAAAAATATTATTTTCATTTCTACAGAAATTTACACATAATATTTGAATCATGCATTTAGATAATCACTTTTTTACATGCTCAATTTACGCTGATAAAATCTTAAATTAATGTAATGTTTCAATTGTATTTTGGTAGTTTATTGATATTGATTTTCACATGAATTTTAAATATCTCGATATATTTCAAATAGTATGGAAAACTCAAATCGTGTATTTGAGTATTTACTTTTTAAGGATATAATTCTAACGAATTTTTGGCAGTTATTTCTATTGATTTCTTCATAGTTTTCAAATCTGATATTTTTATACTCTATTATTTATTATAACAATGTAATCTCGAAATGAAACTTGTGCTTTTTTAGTACTGTTATTACTGAGTAAAACAGATTTCAAAATTTTAATCACAAATTAATATTTTAGAAGTTAACAATTGGAAACTTAAAACAAATTATGTTTTAATATTATCCCTTTGAATAATTAAAGGAGAAAACGCATAAAATAACTTAATATATTGGTTACTTCTGTATAAAATAAGTTAATAGTTAGAGGAAAGTAAACAATGATTTACATCAGGGGTGTCAAACTCGACGGCCGCATGCTGCCTAAGATGAAAATTTTTGTGGCCTAGTCAATATATCCGAAGCAAAGTAAAAATAATTTGGAAATGTGAATTAGAAACGATACCAGCATATAAAATTATAATATACTTTATTTATAAACTATACGGATTATTTTAAATTGTACGCGCGGAAATGTAAAATTCTAATTGGCTGAAATGGAGTCCGTTTCACATTTAGCTATCAACTAGATAGTACATATTCAGGTTTATCCTACTACAGCGAGGTAAGTTGGTTATCTTGCCCCAAGGTTCTCAAACAATTCTGGGATTCGAAAGAAGAAATATGTAAGTTTTTACGTACTAAAAATCAAGATGCAGGCTTGTTCTCCTATTAAATATGGTTGCAAGATTTATCTTTTATGGTTAATATAACCAAACACTTATCTTATTTAAATTTATTGTTACAAGGTAAGGATCAGATCATTACAAACATGTTTGACACAATTAAAGTATTCAAATATAAACTATTTCTTTGGGAAAGGCAACTGAAAAAGGAAGATTTAACGCATTTCCCAACGTGTAACAAGAACAAATCTACTTTAGATGATACTGCATCGTATCAAAAATAAGCAGAAAAAAATTTCAAATCTTAGAACAGATTTTGAAACAAGATTTAAAGAAAGGTTTAAAGATTTTAATTCTTTGGAAGACAAATTTTGTTTGTTTTCTTGGGTTTTCTCAATAAATATAGACTCAGTACCCAGTTATATGCAAATGGAAGTGATTGAGATTCAGTATGATTTAAATTTGAAGGCAAAATTCATTGAAGTGGGTGTGCCTGAATTTTACGAATATTTACCGCAAGGTTTGAAAATACTCGAAAATTCGCATATGAAATGATTTAGTATTGTAGAATTATTTTAATTAAGTACTTATCAGTGAGAGCAATTATTTTCTGTTATGAATGGAAATAAATCTCTTGTCCGAAACCGTATTAATAACGCTGATATTGGGTCAATTTTTAAAGTAGTCTCGGCCAATAAAATTTCTCCCCAAAGTAGAAAAGATAGTAGCAGGGAAGAGATGTCAAGTATCAAGACGTAAACAATAATTTAATTTTATATATGTTAATTACAATGTACTATTCAAAATAAAAATATTTGTTTCTATGCACATTGATTTCTTTTGCAGCCCACCTAAAGTTAAGCATTGTTTATTTGGCCCAAGTTAGCTTTTGAGTTTGACACCCCTGATTTACATAGTCTTAAGCAATCAAATAATTTTCAGATTTAAAAAAAAAATGTATGCTTAATTGTCTTAAAGAATAGACCAGCCATTTATGTGAAATTCGGGGAAGTTGCAAGGGCACTTAAATTTTAATTTCATAAGAAAATCATAGCACAGTTAAATATTAAGAAATGTGATTGCTATTGCAGCATTTTCTTGTCATTGTTTTTGCAAGTTATTTCTTTAACAAACAATTTGAAGAAATAATAATAGCAGTTATTTTTTAAATTATGCTGAGTTAAAAATATACAAGATTTACATACTTAATTCTTTTATACTTAAATTTTTTGATACCGAACCTAAAAATTTAAAACAATTTTTCAATACCTACTCAATACTAATGTTTCCTGTAGCTTGTTCCTGTATATATCCCTCACAGCCAATAAATGCCCATAATCTTGCTCGTGTCTCTCTAAAGGTCTTCGCGACCCACTGGGGAGCAATAGTGCCATGGTTGAGAACTTATTTAAACATTAGAATCAAAATAATACAGACCATTAGTACTTTTTCAGTAGAAAATTCTCTCATTAATACTATTTTATAGAGAAATACAATTTTTAGCACCTACCAAATAACTCCCTGCCTTTTATAACTATATCCAGCAATATGTTTTCTAAAGAAACAGAAATAAGATTTTGCTTAGGTTTTTGAAAATTTGCAATTTACTATGTAGCTTAGGAAAATTTGCATTTCTCCCAAATTAGTGTTTAATATGTCACCAATTGCTAACGACACAAGCATTTTCTACAGCTTTACAGATCTACAATCTACAATGAAAAGGCTACAATGTCAAAAAGCCAAGTTTCTTTATATCATTACACATATTGCCAATATATGTAATGATATAAATTTACACAATGTAGACTCTTTTCCAAAACATTTTTTCATATTTCATTAATAATAAAAGGAATTACTAGATACATTAGAATAAAAGAATTACTAGAAGTATATTTTTTTAAAAATTTAATCTATAGCCACTTTCATACTGATAAGCTATCACTAAAAGAAAATTCTTGCCCTACTCTTGAAGACATAACTGAACCTCAATTACTACTGAATGATCATTTGAGAAACTACTGTTTGTTTGTCACCCAAACTTTCACTTAAACAAACGGGTCAAGTTAACCCCATTTGACTGTTTATTAAGAAATTAAAGTACTGAAGACAACTTGTGTGTTTATTACGATTAAATGCATATGTTATTTTTAATCTCATTTAGGCTTGCTGACTTAATTATTTGTAATTTTTATATTGTACATAGTAAAAAAACATAGTACCATATATATATATATATATATAAACTTGCTCTTCACATCTGTTTATCTGTTTTATTTTTTAGGAATTCTAGTTCAGTGCAACAACCTAGTTCAGCAAACAGTTGGATAGATTTCTAAATATTTTTTGAGAATATATCTTGATAGATTTGAAAATTATCTTGTATTGCATTATTAAGTTATGCATGAAAATGCCTTTGTTTTTTACTATTTTCATTGATGCTCCTTAACTGTAAATCTGTGTGTTATCTAAAATCATTGTTAGATATTGGTATTTATAAAATTAGTAAATTCTATGGAATAAAGTTCTAAAGTGTTGTTATATTAGTTTTATTATTAGTTATTATTTATTTATTTTTTATTTTATTTTTGCATTTAGTTTCCATATTTATATTTCTTTTGTTTTGATTTAAATATTATTAAAATATTCTCCATAAATTTATTGAAATTAGACATCTTTCTGTTAAGTTTCCAGCTTTAAGTCTCAGAAGAAAAAAACATGCAAGATAGTTTATAATTTTCAAATGAAAAAAAAAAATATTGTGAAATATTGTTTTTACTTTCTCTGTTTGTTTTTTCTAATAAGAAATTTTTTTAAAATTATTTAATACTAATTTCAAAATTTAATTATTACTTCTTGTGCTTTCAAAAAAACAATTTTGCGCATGCTGTTCTAAGAATGTTTTTTCTGTCAAAGTTAATGTTTCCTAAATTTTAATTTAATTGAATCAATGTATAGAATAAATCTAATGTAGACATAGAAAAATGTTTGTCGTGTTGTAATGCTATAATCATTCCATTTTTGAGTGTACTTAATTTTGTATTTTAATTACTAATTTAGTACAATTCATTGTATATGATCTTTATAGGAAAATGCTATTTGATTCTCATTTTATTAAATGTATAGTTTTAATTAAAAATTTATTCGATAACTAATTTAAGGAAAATGCATAACTTTTCATTGAAAAACATGACAAAAAATATTATAACATATACTGAACAGAATATTATTACATTTACATGTGTTTTTTCTTTATTATCTTTGCAAAGTTGTGTAGAATCACTACTGTTATTTAAAAGTTTTCCTTTCAGCACAAATCTCTGTTGTTTTACCTATAAATTCTGTAATTTACATAAGGGAAGGGAGTTCTATTTTAGTTTAATAATCTGCCTCAAAAGGCTTTTACGTGAGAGGAAACTTCATTTCCCTCTCAATTGACACAAGTCATAATAGAAATTTTTTTAACACAAACACACTGTAGCACACTTTGCATATTAACTTTGCCTTTATTATTTTAAAAAATTTCTTTAAAAAGTATAGGTATTAGTATATTCATGATTTTCTGTGATCTTTATACAAGATCTAAGTTAATAAATTATATATTATACAGTTACTAAGTTAAATAATTTAGAAATTCTTTGTATTTATTTGAGCTATCCAAGTTGTACAACAATTTATTTGACTTAATTTGTACATTGATGTGCATGATTAAATTACCACAATCCAATTCAGAAATCAACCCAATCTGGCTAGGCTAATCAACTAAACTGACAACAACAAAAAGTTGTTTTTTTTTCTATGGGGGAGAAAAAATAAAATATTACTTCTAACATGCAATTCAATAATTACAAAAATAATTTTTGTTATTTCATTTATTTATTTTTGCAATAGTTTTAATTTCTTTCTTGCTTCCAAGCATTTAAATATGAACTCAAATGCTGTAATTGTCTTTTTTATCATTCAAAAGTTATCCTAGTTACCGTGCATTTAAAAACTTATTATTTACAATATTTAACTTATATATATATATTATGTAATGTTAAATTAAATCTAATCTTTAAATAAATCTAAGATCAAACTCATTTAAAAAATTTTCCCCTAAAAGCAGAATAATATTAATTTTACTGAGAATAAAATAATGTGAGGCATTAGTAGTCTGGGAAATGAGTCACTTGCTTGTTACAAAGTTCTGCTCTTTTTCTCCAGAAATATATAAATATCTAAGTCCTTTTTTTCCATATCTAAACACTAAGGATGTAAGTTCTCCAGGATCTGATAAATAAAACTCTAATTCATAGTTTGTGTATTTTTATAATCATTGGCTACACTCCAAATTAAAATGTTATTGCTGTTAATAAAGCATTACATATGTATGTATTAAGACTATTTGGAGGATGAAAGTGTTTGATGAATAATTTTACCAGCAATAAATTAATATAAATTATATAGAATGGTATAATTGATTCAATTTTATTCCTTTGTTTTATGTTTAAATCTAGTATTTGGAGTTTCATTAATAATAATGTCGATTCAGTACTAGTATATATAGTTTTGCTTTTTCAAAGTGTTATCTCTCATATCAAAATTGCTATTTTTGTGGAATAAAATATGTTAAGCAATAAAATTGATTTAAAAAAGTTAATTAAGAGTTTTTTTTTGTTATGTATTTTGGGTTTTATTTGTTTAAATTTAGTATTTCATTAATAAATGACTATTAGTTATTACTTTTGTATTTAGTATGGTTATAACTGAAGACTAACTTTGAAATTACAGCATTATAATTTTTCTTGTTAAACTTTGTAACATATTTCACATTTCAACTTGTAAAGTATTATCAATCTTTGTTTTAGTTGAATTATTTGCAGCAAAAAAAAAATTAAATCATATAATTTTAAGGTATCCTCGGTGCTAAAAGAAAACTACTACCGATATCAGAGTCTTACATTTTGATGCAATTAAACAATTTTTTTAACAAATCTATTTGTCAAAGGAATGTATGATAATTTGTATTATCATCATAAAGAGAAGGAAACAGCTTCAAGGAACGGAATGTTGGCGGAAAATATGAAGAAAAAATTAAAGAGTAAAATGAATGTGATGTAAAAAATTAGAATACAACATGGCAAAGCACAAATACTGTAGTTTGAGCCATGGTGGCTCAGGTGATAGAGGGTTTGTCTCCCAATGAGGTGGTCCTGGTTCAAATCCCAGTGATGGCTGGTTCATATGAATTCTGCTCCCGACTCGTACCCACCACAGGGCTGCCGCAAAATGTCTTCGTTGTAGACAGATGATGGGTTAGAGTCATATTATCATCTGGCTAAGTGTGTTATGTTTGTGTGGTTTTGATCTCCATGTAACGCAAAAGCGCGGTAATTCCATCCAAAATTCCTCCACGAAAGGCAAATATGTCCCAATGCTTGATTCAGCAGTTCTCTTGTATTCTGGGTTGGGTTCAAAATTGATTTGGCTGTTCAACGCCAGTTATAAAATAAAATAAAAAATCAAACAAGTTTGTGCCGCAGTGTCTTAGGGAATAGAGCGTTTACCGAATTAAATGAATTAGGTTCGAATCCCCACGGTAGCTGGTTGATTTAAATTCTGCTCCTGGTTTGCCCCAATCATAGTTCTGGCGTAAAAATATCCTCAGTCTTAGGCGTTTATGGGATAGAATTCCTCTGCAGTTGGGCTAACCATGACAGATTTACATGGTTTTCCTCTCCAAGAAACGCAAATGCGGATAAGTTCCATTAAAGTCATTCACGAAGGCCTCTTTTATCCCAATACTTGATCCAGGAGTAACCTTGTCTTTCGGGTTGGGTTCAATATTTCTAGGCTACAGAGTTGAACATTGACAGTCATAAACTCATAATCCCATCAGCTGTTCAACGCTGGTTATGTAAAAAAATTTTTAAAAGCCCCTGAAGTTGCTTTTTTTTTATTGGGTGTTTTTTAAAAGTGCTTAATTTTTCCTTTTTCAAAATGAGAATTTTCCTGTACCATGTTGATTTTCGCTACAAATTATGCAGTATGTATGTATTAGTATGCAGTATGTAAATGTATTTCAGAACAAAATGAATGAACAGATTAATCAAAGTAATGTTCATCGCTGGCTACTACTTTTTCCCACCTCTCAGGCAATTTGCGAATTCCATCTCCAAAAAATGTCTAGTCTTTTGAGGCGATCCAAGTTAGGAATCAATTTACGATTTCTGCAAAAGAAGTGAAACGGTGATTAGCAAAATCATGCTGCATCCGTCTGAACAACCTGTAATCAGAAGTAGCAATGTCCGGCGAATACGGTGGGTGTGGTAAAATATCCCACTTGAGCGTTTCCAAATAATTTTTTGTGACATGAGGCCGACAGTTATCATGCGGAAGATTAACTTTGTCATGTCTGTGCTCGTATTTCTGCCGTTTTTCTCGTAATGCACGGCGTAAACGAATCAATTGTAGCCTATTCCGATCGCCCGTAATGGAATCGACAGATTGTAGCAGCTCATAGTATGCAACACCATTCTACGTTATTGAAACGTCGAAACCATTCCCTGCATGATTTATCAGTTGGAGCATTGTCACCATAAACTTCTACAATCATTCGATGCTCTTCAGCTGCACTTTTCTTAAAATTAAAGCAGAAACATAAAACCTCCCACAAATGCTGCTTAGTTACCACACAATTTGACATATTCAACAAATGAAAAAACAGGGTTTTTGTATGAAACTCAAAGCGATATAAGCTGAATATATAATTGATAGATGTCTAACCTCTCTGAAACCAGCTGTCACTATGAAACATTCATAACAGCCAGAGCCATCTTTTGAAAACTGACCGAACTAATTTGTACTCCCAATATTTGTTTGTTTTTTATTATTCTGGAATTGTTTTTCATGAATCATCTCGTTTCTAATCGATCAGCAATTAAATTCTCGCGGATGATTTCTGGGAGGGGTTTTTAGCCCTCTTTCTTGCACCCATTGCTAGTATGCCCTAGTTAATTAGCATTTTGAAGTTAACACATATGTATTGTAGTGGCAGATACACTACGGTGGAAGTGTTGTGGGAAGAGTTGTTATCGAGCATGTCAACCTTCATCTGTGAAAAGGTACCCAACATAGAATCAAGTTAACATGTCTTATATACTAGTGAATTGGAGTTGTATTTTCGTAGTGGTAGATACACTACAGTACTTTCCCAGCAGAATTTTATCTGGTATAGAATTCGATGAACGGATACCACTAGTTGATTCATTGCTGTTTTGTGAGAAGCTGGGAGAGCTGTATTGAGATCACCGTACTTTTGAGTACTGATTGTGAGAACTGTATTAAGTTCACGTTTGTGGTTGCTTTCGTGTTGCCTTTAGCAGTCGAGTGTATACATTGTGTGTGATCGAAACTGAGTAGCAACTGTGCGAGGAGGTGCCGCCGTCACAAGTAGCAAGTCAATTGTTCAATGTTGACTATCCATCGAAGTAGGTGTGTTTTAGATCGAAGTGGGAGTTTCTGTCAAGGTATGCGTGTTCACATCACGTCCGGGTTATCTATGTCGGGAGTGTCATATCGCCATTGTCAACTTTCATTTATGAAAAGGTACCCCAACATAAAATCTACAGGGTGCGTAGCGTTTTTAAAAAGTGCTTATTTTTGGTTTACGTTTTTTAAAAGCCCTTAAAGGTGCTTTTTTTATTCGGTGTTTGTAAAAAGTGCTTAATTTTCTATCTTTTAAAAAGAGATTTTTTCTTTGCTGTATCGATTGTTGTTCTAAATTACAAAAAAAATGCATTGTTTTCACAATTTTCTCTGCAATATTTATCAGAAACTAGTTATATCATCATGATTATGTCAAGTTTTTGAAAATGTTACTGTATTTTATTGATTTTATGTTTATAAATTAAGTACTTTTAACGATAGAAAAAATAATTTTTATTACTGCACAGATCTTAATTATGAAATTTTTTTTTTTTTGGAAGGTGATTAAAAATATTTTTTGAGTGCTTGAAAAGTACTTAAAAGGTGCTTATTTTTTGATTGTAAAACTGGCTACGCACCCTGATCTAGTTAGCATGTCTTATATACTAGTGAATTGGATTTGTAGTTGTAGTAACACTACACCTTCATCTAGCTGTTGCCATATTGGTACTTTCCGTTTGATAACGTGTAAAAAAAATCATGATCACCAAAACTCAAACAATTTGATAAAATGTTATGCTTTCAATTCAAGATAAAATGAAATTCTATAAGAAATTAAAATTATGTTAATTTCAAAAACTACAAATACAGGAAAAAAGGATGTATGAAAGCTTTATTCAAGGATTATATTTAGATTACCAACCACTGTAAAATTTTTCTTCCGATACATCAGATTTTTTTTTGTAGTCTACAGTGTGTTGAATCCATTTCCTGAAAGAAAAAAAAAACCTTTTCAAAAAGCTTCAAAAGCAATTTTTAAAAATTCTGTACTGCTTATCCTTTGGAATGAGCTCAAGTGCTGAATTGGTATATTGTCTCTTTTTATTGAAACAATGTTTTCAATGACACGGCAAATTAAGTTTCCAATTACAGGGAAAAACTTTGTTGTAGGTGAAACATTTTTTTATTTCAGTTGGAATACTTTGGTAAGTTTGATTGTTCTTAACTTGTGTGATTTACCAAAGAATAAATATTAACTAAACGTAACAAGAAGTAAAGATTGACCAAGAAACTTTTCAGCGATAAAAAGTTTCAATTATAAGTTGCATCAAAAAATCTCTTCACAATTTTAAGTGTGTGAAATCATTTAAATATTTTATTACTTGGTTATAAAATAGCGTGCTCCACCTAAATGAAAGGAATATAACATTTTTCTCTAAGCTAATGTTTTTAATAGCATATTGAACATTTGTCTCAATTCATAGGTATGTATTTTGCTCTGCTTATCTTGCTATGAATATATTAAAAGAATTAAGTGATCTAGCTGCGAAGTGTATTAGCTCGAAATCATAGTATTTGCCATTTTTGTGTAGTTCTATTTTAATTGAATTTGCGCTTTTTATCTAATGAGTTTTCGAATTCTGACCTTAATCGATCGAGGGCGTTAGAAGTAGAAAATCATTTATGCATAAAATAGGAAATCACAAGGGTTGAAAAAGAAAAATATGAGAGAAGTGAAAAGAATCCTTACTTACATGATACATATTGGGCTTTTACATAAAACCTTCGGTTTTCTTTCTGAAGTTTCGACTTCATAATTATTCCATCCAGTTAAGAACTCTCCTAAAATTAGTGAATAAGTATTATGTCAACTTAAATATTATTCCTATATTTCTTATTTATTACCGATTAAAACAAATATTTCTTGAATCTTGAATATCTAAAGAAATGCTATTTGAATGGATTCGTCACATAAATTTATATGAAGAAGATATTTATTTTACGAAAACTAATATTTTGTAAATAATTAACGGATCCGTTCAAAAAGAAAACTCTCTTTCAATTCTGAAGTTTTCTATCTGTCGTTGAACAATCAGCCCAAGTTTGGGTTTACGACTACTAATGCTCAACTCCGTAGCCTTGCAATTTTGAACCAATCAGGAAGACAAGGAAACTCCTGAATCAGTACCCCCAGAGATATTGATTTGTTATGGGAACATGGAGGACTTTGCGACTCGACAGATTTAACGTGCATCAGCACCATTTACTACACGGGGAGTCTTTGGCCAGCCTGGGATCGAACTCTTGGACATTGGCCCAGTGCCCTACCAATCAGACTATCTCGGCCTAATTTTGAAGTTTTATATCTGTCTTTGAACAGCCGACCCAATTTTGGGTTTACGACTACTAATGTTCAATTCCGTATCCTTGTAATTTTGAACCAATCCAGAAGACAAGGAAAGTCTTGGATCAGTACCCCCCCTGAGGTATTGATTTGTTATGGGAACATTGAGGACTTAGCGACTCAACAGATTTTGCGTGCACCAGTCACCATTTACTACACGGGGAGTCTTTGGCCGGCCTGGGATCGAACCCACGAACTCTTGGATATGGGCCCAGTGCCCTACCAGCCAGACTATTCCGGCCTAATTTTGAAGTTGAGAAAAAAACATATCTAACATTATCTAGATTATAACATTATCTAGATTAACATGGCTAGAGACGAATCATGTAAACAAGTGACTGGACGGTATTGCCCGCCAAACTCTCTGTAGCTTGGAGGAAGGGGGTTCGAATCCCGCCCCAGAATGGATCTTCGTGCTGCCTCTTTCTGATTTGTTCTATCTGTCTTTCTACTTGATAAAAGGCTTTCAAGCTATTCTTGTCCCGCATTGGACAGATCGTTCCTAGACACGGTTCCTAACAGATCACCGAAGTGAAGCGTCAGTGTGCGGATCGGTGACCACTTGGATCAGTCTACGTAGGGACCGAGGATGTGCGGTTGAGTCCTCGTTAAACTGTTCTACCGTAAAGTGCTCGACTTCGCGTGCAGATCGTCGGGCTACCGAAGTGGAGGTGCTATCCCCTCCGCAAAGGATCAAAATTGTGATGGCATGTCTTCGGATCATCCTCAGGGATTTCCCAGACCGTCGCCGATAGGCCATTGTGCAGCTCTAGTGCGACGTAAATGAACTACTACTACTACTACAAGTCATACTTAACGTTACAAATAAACGTAAACAAGCAAAAAAGTAGTTCCCAATAAAACACAACACTTTCTGGCATGCGTTCTTCATAGTGCAATGTTTTATTACTTGATTAAATAAATGTAAGTATGGAGCCTTAGAACACCGCTAGTGCTAAGAAACTTCTGCAAACAAAATACGCTTATTGAAATTTGAGATAGCTGAGAAATGAAACTGTATGTACAGAACTTTATTTACCGGTTCACAATGCATATAATATAGCACCAAATGATATGTTATGTTAACTATAAATTAATCTGAGAATTGGCGGTTTTCAATGTTTAATAACATTTTTCGTTTTTGCTAAATGGTACAGAAAAAAAAACAGGTAAGCCAGATAAAGTGAAAGAAGCACTTTTTTTTAAAACTTTTATAAGAAATTACTGCATTGATATTTTAAAATGATTTATACTTTTGTCTGAAGATCTAGATAAATAGGATGTTGTTATTCAACTGCCGACAATTGGAATACGAAAGTGCTGAAGTTTGTCATAAAATTTAAAATTTGGAAAAAGAATGTTTATTTGGAAATCGATACGAAATACAGAGTATGTGCTAAATTTTTGATTTTCAAATTCATGACTTTCCATAAGTAATTTTTCATGACTTAACGAAGTTACTGTTTTCTCCTACAATAACACAATAATAAATTTAAGAAAACATTATAATAACATTAATTGAAATGATAGGTGTAACCAAAACTTTTATACTCTGCATCTTCATATTTATAGATTTTAAATTTAAAAAGTTGAGTAAAGAAAGTGTTGAAGCAATAAAATAGCTGGAAAAAAAATACAAAAGCAAATAATTTTTTTTCTTCTGCGGAACTATATTCTAAAGATACTTTTCTTGTTCTTCGGAAAGGATAGAAATACTCCTATTTTTCTTTTCTCATTTCGGAATAAAAAATATTCGCCAATGACTGGCTTGCTTCAGCTAGAATTTTAAATTGATAAAATAATATATAACAAAAATTGTGAAATCACAGAAGTTTAAAAGATAATTCGCTCTAGAAATGATGTTTTTTTATTTAATTAGGAAATTATATTAAATGTTGAATGTAAACAGAAATTAAATGTTAAAAGTAGATAAATGTTTAAAATTCCATACTGGTCATCCTTGGAGAATTTTTGATACACTTAGATTAGATGTACATTTTAAAAATAAATGTCTATCGCTTTAAATCTACATTATAGATCGAAAATCAAATACTTTGCTTGGATTAAATGCATGTGAAAAATTAGGTATCATTACCAGATAAAAACTGTAGATAAAAAAAAAAAAAAACCTAAATTAATACATTTTATTTTGGTACTGCTTAAAAAAGGGAAAAAATTCTACAAATACCATTTTTACAGGCTTGTCAAACTATTTTTAGAATTACCTTCTCAGAATTTTCCTAATTTTCTTTTTAATTTTTTTTTCATATCTTTCTTACCACTAGAAAAAATATTTTTTAAAACTGCGGAAATTCTGTAGTAGTTCGAGGGTGTGTTAGTGACCAATTGAATGTCTTTTTTTTCTAATTTACTAAGATATTATTTCCTAAAAGAAAATTTGTGAAATACTATTGAAATGCATATTACAAAAAAAATCTCTCTAACAGTTTGTATTGTTTTTGTAATTGAGCAAGCAATTCCTGAAATATAATCCCAAAATGCCCTTGCGATTTTTCTTTATATGCTTTTTTGCCAAACTTAGTTTATAACACCGTTTGGTTTCCTCTTATTATTGCAATTCCTTTCAATTTGATTCAGTTCACATTGTAAAAGCTGCGATATAAACTGCTGTTTGTAGAAAATGCAACACCATTGATCGTTGTATGCCTATTAAGGCNAAATGCAACACCATGAAAGAATCATCAGAATCAAATGAAATTTAATGCAGAAACGACTTGCTCTGATACAAATAAATGATNTGTGAAATACTATTGAAATGCACATTACAAAAAAAATCTCTCTAACAGTTTGTATTGTTTTTGTAATTGAGCAAGCAATTCCTGAAATATAATCCCAAAATGCCCTTTCGATTTTTCTTTTATATGCTTTTTTGTCAAACTTAGTTTATAACACCGTTTGGTTTCCTCTTATTATTGCAATTCCTTTAAATTTGATTCAGTTCACATTGTAAAAGCTGCGATATAATAACCGTCCAATTTAGGTGCTGAACATCAAAAAAGAATTGCTTGAACCAACAAGTCAACATTAAATGAGCGTTCATATATACTTTAAGTGGTGCAGTTAGATATGAATTAATATTTCCGTAAATTATCTTCACCTTCGAAAACTAAAATTTTAGCGAGAGTTTAAAAACTGTTTGATGACAATTTTAGATAAATTATACAATTAAGCACGAAATAGTGGGAATCGTTTCTCACTATCTGAAAAACATTTCCCCTTCAGTGGATTGATCATAAAGACATGGTTCCCAGTAGAACACCGAAGTCAAGCATCACTGTAAGCGGGAGGGGAACCACTATGATCAGCCTACGTAGGGACCGAGGATGTGCGGCATTGGTCCTCGTTAAACTGTTCTACCGTAAAGTTCTTGACTTCGCTCGCAGGTCGTCGGGGTACTAAAGCAGGGGAGTAATCCCCTCTGCAGAGGATGAAAAATGCGATGCCATGCTTCGGATCATCCTCAGGGATGTTTCCCAGACCGTCGCCAATAACCCATTGTGCAGCTCTAGTGCGACGTAAATAAAGAACTTACCTGAAAAACATTTATAAATCTATGGAAGTTCATTGCTACAAAAGGTTTTAGTGTTATAATAAAGAGTTCCTAATTTATACTTAGCTGTGAATTATAATAAGGAATTATATAATGTTCAATTTTTATCTGACTCTATTCTATCAAGCCAAATTTGAATTAGTCTTCTCTCGGTTAGTGTGTGTGAAACCAGCTTTATTTTATGAATTAGTGTTTGTCCTAAATTGTTTTTACTCTAAATTATATAGTAAAAATAATTTTGCTGACTCTGCTTGTATCAGTTCTAATAAAGACATTAGTTCCGTTTCAAGTGATGATTTTTTTTTCTGGACATTGCTTTCGTGTTTCTTTTATGAGCATATTTTTTTAAGAATAAACTAACGATTCTAAATAAATTCGAAATGTGATAGCGCCAATTTACATAAATCACTTGGTACATTTTATTTCATTTTAAATAAGACCTTTTAAAAGTTAATTTCTGTTTTTACAAGGGTCCTATAAATTTTTCATTGTGGTAGTAAATTTACGTTGTAGGAATTTAGAATTGTAAAACTCTTTTCATAGTTTAGAGTTCTGAACACGAAGGGATCATCTGAATAATAGATCCAGCCATCCTTATCCTGAAATCTAGGAGTTTGTCCCGTGATGATTAAGTTCAAAAAAGCATGAAATTCCTAGCTCTTAAATTTTAATAATAACAATAAGTTAACATAATTTGAATGAAGAGCAAGTTTTGAGAGCTGGAATTTTAAAATATGAATTTATTGAAGTCTTATAACTTTGAAACTATTCAAACGATTTTGCTGATGATTATGCTTTAATTGTTATATATATGTATATATATATATGTGTGTGTGTGTAATGTTATGTCTTTAAAGGCTAGATAATTGAAGAGATTGAGGCTGCTTCTGTTAAAAAGGCATTTTATTTCGTTAGATGGAGTATTGCAAACATTATGCGTTGGATATTTACATCAGGTTTCCCCCTTTGCAGGGATTGTTTGGATTTGGCCCAGCTTTATCTAGCCATTGAAAATATGAAAAAGACACGCAGTTTTGCCTGTCCTGAGCTTTTAACGTGAGATTCTGAGAGGGCGTGGTTGCAAGTATCTTCTTATCTGAATGAAACGTCATNAATTCTATATTATATATATATATATATATATATATTCTTTTCTTGGTACTTACTAACACTGCAGTCGACTGCATCTTCTCCGGTCAGTTGACAATTCAATCTTTTCTTTTCATTTAGAACACCAGACACTAAAAATAAATGCTTTTTTTTTAATTATGAAATGATAATCATTATTCAATGATAATCACTTTTTCAATTTGATCTGCTCTCTCATTTTGATGTTAAAGCAAAAGCACTGTGGGGAGGAATATTTTTCTTTAAGTTAGCACCAAACAGAGCTTTCATATAAACTTTAAAGGGTGTTGTTTGATCCTAACACCAATTATGTAAGATGCTTACACCGAGATCACGCGTATTCACACCACTCGTAAACTATTTTTGTCTTAAAACATGCCAATTTTGGCGTACTTGAATAACGTTAGTAAAGTGTTTACAAATAAATAAGGAATAGTGTGAAGTTTGTTGCTATTTTGCCACTGCTAAGCATCGACAGAACTTTTAAGTTCCTCATTATAAATTGTAATTATGTTTTTAGTTGTAAATTAATTATAATTATATTTTAATTTTTAAATATCTGCCAATTGTATTAAATAGTTTAATATTTAATTTCTATAGATCCTAATTCGAATTCGTTTTAATATTCTCTCTGTGTATGTTTGATTTACACTAAATATATTCTAAGAATTAGTGTCCCTAAAATAACTGTTTGTACCGTAAATTAAATCTTAAAAGTAACTTTACTAACTTTCACGTGTTTCGTATTATAAATGTTGGTATTACGGAACATCAAAACCACTTTTCATCAACTAGTGAAAAAGAGCATTCTTTTGGTTTGACTACACCAGAACTACATCCTTAGTTCTTAGTGCAGTGAAACACCAAAAACTAAGAATTATCTCTAGTGTGTGAGATACACTAACGTTTTTTGCAGTTTAATAGCGAGTATTAATAGACTGTTTTTATCTGTGTGGGAGAGAAGTTATAGACAGTGTCAACCTTCATCTATGAAAATGTACCCCATCATAGAATCGGGTTAACATGTCTTATGCAGTTTTTTTGTAGTGGTAGACATCACATCTGTAACTAACTATCTACTTTCCGTTGCTCGGGAATTCTTGGAACTGCATGCGCAACTCTTTTTTTAACCACTTATTTCGTTTTAATCTTGTTCCATGAACCAACTTTTGTATTTGGTTTTTATATTTGATACTAAATTCTTGATCGCTATTGTTCATCAACCATCAGAAATGTGTTCTTTCTCAGTAATTTCCCTATCTCCTATTACCGATAAAGCGGCAAGAATATCAAGATATCGAAGTGGATTGATAGTCGTTCCTAGAGCGCAGATTTCAAACTTTTTTTTTCTTTTAATGGCAGCCACTTGGAACTATTGTCCATTAGCCACAGAAAGTGCCAGAACTGCTAACTCTCTTTTCGTTACCCAGTGGGCACCTGTGGCGAAACCACGGCGGTGGAGCAGCGTCG